TGTGGCACCCGGAACAGGCCCCACTGCTTCAGTTCAGGCCTACTCAGCGCAGCGTCAGCCCTCTCGTGTCTGGCTCACAACACGCCTGCTAACGCAGCCCAGATTCAGGGTTGCTTCTTTTGCCACTGTGTCACGCTGTTGACTCATCTTTAGCTTGTGATTCACACTGACCCCAGGTCCTTTCCGCTGAACGCCTTCCTAGACAGCCGCTTCCTGTTCCGTACGTGGGAAGCTGTTTGTTCCTTCCCACGTGGAGAGCTTGGCCAGTGCCCTTTTTGAATTTCATCCCATTTGCCTCAGGCCCTCTTGGATGCAATCAAAAAATCTCCTTGGGAAATGCTACAATGCCATGCAGAAAAGCTAGGTGGGCCGGCTGCCTTGTGTGCCGGAGCCGGCAGGGCTGGGCGTTTTGCTCCATCCCCGGTGTGGCAATCAGGTGCTGCCCGTGACGGTGAACGTTTCCTGCACAGGCGGCAAGAGAGGTCAACGTTTTCACCCTGGGCCGGTCGGCGCTGGGCACGGCAAGGGGTGATGCTTTGGTGCTGCACCATTTTGCAGGGGCTATGAAGCACCCCTTGGCCGCTCTGGTAGAAAGGGCATTTCTCAAAGGGCATTTCTCTGCTTTTATTTACGCTGCCATGGAGTGAGTAACTGCTCCCCTCCTGCATTAATAACTGGTTGTGTGGCCAGGCCCTTAGCCCTCCCCTCCCCCCCCCCAAGCAGGAGACACTGAGGAGCCAAGGGGAAGGGAACATGAATTCTTAGTGCCACCCACCACCTTCCTCGCAGCCAGTGTGATTGGGGTCTGGTCAGTGCATTTCAGCACCTAGTGCCGTGGCAGGCAGCTGAGCGTGGCTCTGTCGCCACTGGAGTGGAAGCTGTAACTAGCTAGTGCGGCTGTGTTTACCCAGGCTAGAAACTGCACTTCCAGCGCCCGTCTACATGGGCCCCAGCTGTGCTAAGAGATGGGTGTCTTATCGGGGTCACAGCCCCATGCAGCAGACTGGGGGGGCTGGCATGGGGACGGGAATCCCTGTGTTCACAGGACTAGTCTCTTTGCCTGTACCGGTGGCACAGCTGAACAGCACGGCTTGTGCGGGACGTGGGCTCCTCGGTTCCCAGCGAGAGGATGCCGGCGTGAAACCGACAGGGGGAAGCTGATAAGAACATAAGAGCGGCCAGACTGGGTCAGACCAAAGGCCCAGGGTCCTGTCTGCTGACAGTGGCCAGTGCCAGATGCCCCAGAGGGAGGGAACAGAACAGGGACCCCTCCCCGTCACCCATTTCCAGACAGACAGAGGCTAGGGACACCATTCCTACCCATCCTGGCTAATAGCCATTGATGGACCTGACCTCCATGAATCTATCTAGCTCTTTTTTGAACCCTGTTAAAGTCCTAGTCTATACAACATCCTCTGGCAAGGAGTTCCACAGGTTGATTGTGCCCTGCGTGAAGAAAAACTTCTTTTTGTTTGTTTTAAACCTGCTGCCTATTAATTTCATTTAGTGACCCCTAGTTCTTATATAGTGGGAACAAGATAACAACTTTTCCTTATTCACTTTCTCCACACCACTCATGATTGCATAGACCTCTATCACATCCCCCCTCAGTCTCCTCCTTTCTAAGCTGAAAAGTTCAAGTCTTTTTACTTTCTCTTCTTTTGGGACCTGTTCCAAACCCCTCACCCTTTGTGTTGCCCTTCTCTGAACCTTTTCCAATGCCCAGAGATCTTTTTTAGATGAGGCTCAAAGCTGGTGTCTCAGTCGACCTTGGCTCACGACAGCGCAGCAGGCCTGGCCCGGAACCCTGGCCCCACAGGCTACTGCAACCCCATCAGCGAGGCTGGGCATTGGCTGGGCCGCACCACGTGCTCGGTCTCAAAGAGAAGTTTGTGCCCCTTCCGTCTGCATCGGAAAATGAGCGGTGCCAAGCTCTGTGGGGTTGTGTAGGGGCTGTTTTACCTGCACAGAGTAAATAGAAATGAATAATAAGGCATTGTGCTTAGAAAGCAAACCTGATGTGAGCAGAGATTTAGGGAACTCCAACTAAACCTCTTCCCACCCCCACCCTCTCGGCAGCCATGTCCACACACACACTTCCAGACTGGGGTTCCTAAGCAGAATGGGAGTGAATTGCTGAAATGTAGGCAAAGCCGTGTTGGGCCGAGGCCAAGTCCTCCTTGGTTAAGGCACAGAGGAACAAATCCATTTCTTTGGCATCACCCAAATTCATGTCTTTCACAGCTGACAGGCACAGAGGTTCGTGTTCCTCGGGGTTTCATTGCACTTTCTGTGCTTATCAAATTTTGGGGCCTGGAGGGGTTAAGACTTGTGCAGGAGCCAATGTCTTGGCTTAAGTCACTGTGCTGCACCTGTAAGTCAGGCATGCAAGAAATAAATGAACTACATTCTGGAGATTTGGGGGGTTATTTTTGGGTAAGGGTACTTTTCAGTTGGGATGGGGAGAAGAAAACAGAGTGAATTTTTTTTGGCAAAAGACCATGCAAAGAATTAAATAAGAATTATTAAACCAACAAACTTTCTTTAATAAATTAATAGCAGCATCACAAAACCCCGGGGTGAATGACCGGAAAGGAGTTGGGAGGTGACAGCATTCAATCATTCACAAACTGCTCCCGCCTGCTGGCAGGGCGGGGCCGTGGGGGTCATAAGGCAGTCCTCTCGTACGGTATCTGACCAGGGAATGGACATCCAAATGGCTTCCGCTGAGTAGCATTGGTCACCAGAGGTACAAGTCTCTGGGTGAAAGTCTCTTTTTTAAACACTTATAAAAGTATTCTCAACGTCTATGCTCAATTCTCAGTATTTACATCCAAAGACAGGAGGTTCCCTTTGTCTCAGAACTACGGTACTTGCATGAACAGGGTGGATGGGTCCTCAGCGAGGCGTGTGGATTCTGCTAAACACTAGGATGCCAGGGTGTATGAACTATTAATACATGTGCTATAAGCTAGTATCATTCAACTTATTGCTAGTACGTTTAAAGTCGGTGGTTGCTTTTTCAACAGAGAGAGACGGGGATCGCTATTTGGAAATGATGGGGTGTGAATTCTCCCTGCCAAAATACTCACCAAAAGGAAGAACACTGTTTGGATCTCCTCCCACGTGCAGGAGTTCAAACCTGAGCTAGAGAAAAAGGCAGCCACAAGCGGAGTGAAGCGTCCAATCCCTCTTCCACCAGCTACGCTGCCTGGGCAGAAGTACAAAGGGACGCAGGAGTGAGCAGACACACGGAGGGAGCAGGCGAGTGCCGGGGGAGCTGCAGGACACAAGTGGCCCTCCTGCACAGCGGAGCGGGAGTCACCACGCTGGCCCTGTGCCCGTCTCCCCACCACCAGCAGTGGAAATACTGCGATTAACACCCACGCGACTGGGGGAGAAGCAGGCCTAGGGGCGTCAGTGGGATTACACCGGGGTCAGTGGTGGCTGAAGCCGTGGATTCCTGTACCAGCCCCAATCAGACAGCTGCTGTACAGTGCAGCACAGCGGCGTGAGCCTCCAGTAACACGGCGGCTCTGGCGGCACATCCTTGCTGCTACCACTGGTGCCCGGGAACGTGACAAGCTCGAGGTAGAACCCGTTCCTATTAGTCACATGCAACTCAGGCGTGTCCTGCATCTACCTCGCTCTTCTCGGGCCTTTCCTAGGGAGAGACGGCCAGTCGTGCCAAAGCGCCTACTCCCCAGGGGTGTCCTTACGTGTGTTAATGGAGATACAAACTGCGGAGGCCTGCGGCGAGCTCTGCCACGGTGCGGAGCTCACAGCAAAGGGCATTAACCGCATCACCCCAAGTCACACCAGGCTCCGGTGCCCCACCTGAGTCACTGTCCTCACCTACCTCTGTGTAGCCCTGGGGGCAGTCGGGTCTGTATTAAGTGGGCTGGGGCCTAGCCTGGCTCCTGCCCATCTGCTCCTGGGATGGAGAAAGCAATGGCCTTCCTTACTGCTCTGCACCCGTGCTCCCCAAGGCAGAGGCTCACAGCCAATGGCATGATGGAGCAGCAGCCCTACCTCCCCTGGCTTGTGGGGGCAGAACGTGCTAAGCCTCGCCGTCCCCCCGGCCTGTAACATGGCCAGGCCCAGGCTGCTGAGGACACAAAACTGAATGTGAGCGTGGGGGGAGCAAATGCCCTGAGCCCAGTGACCTGTCCCTCCAAGCAAACTCCCCACCCTGCCAGCAAGGGAAGGGCAGAAGGCTGAGCGAGGAGCTGCCCATAACACATTCTGCTCGCCACGCTTCCCTGGTCTAGTGTGGGCCACCGGAGCTGACACGGAGCTGGTCTCCGTTCCCGTCTCAGGTGAGCCAGCACCCTGGAGCCGTCAGACACCCTGCAGAGCAGAGCCTGCCCCACGGTGGCCTTTGGTTACTTAGGGTTCAGGGCAGGGTAAGAGACTCGCCTTTCTCCAGCTATGAGATTTCAGGAGCCCGGGGCAGACGGCCGCGAATGGCCAGGGCTGCAGAATCCCGCTGGAATTGCTTTCCTGCACGTTCGCATGTGAACGAGCATCTGCTAGGGACCGGGCTGGTACTGCCCCTCTCGGCACGGTTGTGCGAAAGGGAGGCAGCGCCCCACTCCGGCACCCAGCCCCCCCTCTCCTGTGATGCTCTGGTTACACCGCAAGGCTGCTGCGCTTCGCTGTGGGATCCTTCCAGGAGTCTGGGGAGATTCACAGTTGCATTGTTGCATGGCACATACCAGGGGTGAGACTTTAAAGTGCAGGTTGAACCTCTCTAGTCCAGAACTCTGGTCCGACAGCATCCGTGCTCCAGCAGGGTTTGAGTAGCCGGGTGTCCTCTTATCACGGGGGCGGCCAAGTTTCCCGCAGTCCCGTAAAGTTTGTTTCCAGCCCCCAGACCTGGCTCTCAATGTTCTGTGCTGCTATTTAGCTCTAATTTACCCCAAAATGTCTCGCAGAGCCCAGCAAGCAGTGGGAGTGTTGGCAATGCTGCTAGACAACACTGACCTCCTGTGGTCTGGAAAATGGTCTGGTTTGGAGCCAGTCAGGTCCCAAGGGTGCCGGACTAGAGAGGTTCGACCTGCATATATTTATCGTTAACTTTAAAAAGTTGTCCTAACTATGAATGGGCCATTCTGGACTCCAGCAAATGCCACCTGAGTATGTTTTCAGCATGTTTGTTCATACACTGGAAGAAAACGGTCAGCATCATATCCTCGATGTAAGCAAAGGAACGGGTATTTTTGATCTAGCAGTGACGGTGAATACAGAACCTTAACCCTCACTGCGGTGTGTGTCCAATTGAAAGTAGTGGGCTGGAAAAATGCATTTAAAAAAAAGCTTTGTTCAGGATGCAGTATTTACATTGTTCTTTGAGGAACACATACAGTTTTACAAAGATATCGTTCAGCTGCAGGGCACTGAGCCGTGGGTGTGACTGGATCACACACAGCTGACCCTTTCGCTGACAACATTGCAACTGTTTATTGAGAGCTCTGAAGTCCCCGGCTGCATTTCCAAGCCCTCCTCAGTTTCATCTAGCTCCATGCTGTTGAGTTCATTGCCATTTCGGTAGCTATTTAGCGCCAGGTCTTTCCCGTACGAAGCCGTGGAAGCAACATTCAGACACGGGTTTTGTCGCAGTGTCGATTTCGTATTGGTCGTGTACTGGCAGCGGATGTAGCTGGCGAAGGCCCTGCGATAAGTTTTATTGAAGAGCGTGTACACCAGGGGGTTGATCCCGGAACAAATGTAACCAACCCAAACAAACACCTCGAGGAGTTCGGCCAGGAGGCCCTCATCACAGGCTTCCTTGCAAAGGACAGACATGATGTTAGTGATGAAAAACGGACACCACAAGATAAGAAACAAAAAGAAAACAATGCCCAGGACCTTGGAGGCTCTGCGCTCGTTGTTGATCGACTGCATGGTCCCTTTCCGGAAGAGCACGGCTTCCTTATTGACGGGAGAGTTCAAGTGGGAGGCCGCCTCGTGGTTCTGGAGCATGGAGAGGTTCTCGGGGTTTTCTTTTTTGAGGCAGTTCATGCTGCTCCTGCGCTGCTTGGGGGCCTCGCCATACATGAACACCGTGGCCTGCTTCTGGAGCACCTGGACGGTCAGGCAGTAGGAGATGACCATGATGATGAGCGGGATAAAGAACGCCACGAAGGACCCGAAGAGGACGAAGTTCTCGTCGTTCAGAACGCAGCTGCCGTTCACGAACACCCTGGCGTCGTCCTGCAGCCCTATGACTGGGATGGGCATGGAGATCCCTAGAAGGGAGAAGCAGAAGCAGCCTGTTACCAAAGCACACGAGCACTCCGGAGAGTGTGTGGAGATGATTCGTGTCTGACACACGTTGTATTTCAACCATCGCCTACGGCTGTCCCAGGGCTAAGTCAGGATCCCCAGGAAAACACCCATTGTAATACTCAGCTCCACTAGGTGGCAGCACAGGTCTAGTGACAGAATGACCGGCCGGCCGGGAACGTCGGGCAGGCCTAAACACCGATGCAGCGCAAAGCATCAGGTTTGGGTGTATCTCAGTTACCGGCCTGGTATTTCTAACGTTAATTTGGAACCGCAGATGCTGCCGAAGGCAAGGTGGCAATTTTCGACTGGACAATCCCTGCTCACATATCCATGCCTCCCACAGGCCCAGCATATCCGCCTCCTGGTGGCCCTCACCAGGTGGAGTCTCTCTGGGACTTGCCCCTTTTCCTGCTCTGGGTGAGGCGTCTTGATCCCATCCCAGCAGAGACAACCTCTTCGTATATGTCGGTGCCTTCCGCAGGTGTAACAAGCTCGCTGTTCTGCCACCTGCCTCCTGGCCCTAGTGCTGGCCTCCCCCCTCTTTGCGACTCCTGAATTCCCTCCTTAGGAGTTTGAACAGGGCCCACTCTTCCTCCACCAGCTGCCCCAACCATTCATGCAGGGTCCACTGTGCCTCCCAGAGCCCCTCGAAGCATCTATGGTTCTTCAGCCCCCTTCTGACGGGGCACTGATTCTGGGGCCCAACTGGAGAGAGCACAAGGCGCCTCTGCAAGGAATGTCCCTGTATATGCTGGGTCCATCATCCGCCCCTTCACTCGGTCCTTACACGGCACCGTTCGTCTAGTCCATACCAGTCCCCTTGTATCAGGGATGGACCACAACTGCCCACCTTCTCCACCACATGTAACAGGGCCTCACCCGTCCGGGGCGCCTCCTGCTGGACACTCTGGGAATTAGCTTTTCATCTCTGGAGTACCCCCTTTCGGCCGGTGTCTCGCCCGCCTTTACCTATTTTCCATCCACCTCTGTGTTGTTAGGACCCACATCCCTCCCAGAACGTGGCACCCTTCTACCTGGGTACTGCCCTACCAGAGTGCCACCACACTCTGAGGTCCTCCCTCTCTGGGAACCCCCAACCCGCTATGCCACCTGGCCTCAGCGACCCACTGCCAGTCTTCTAGCCCCTGCCTCAGGCAAACTGCCATCTGACATGGCCACTCAGCACTGGCAAAGGGGTGTGGACCGGCTGCCTTTTCCTATACTGGCTGCTTCTCTGCAGCCCTAGTAGCCTGAGGCCCTGTAGCCTGGGAACGTTCCAGGCCAGACCTTCCCAGCTCTGCCTGCCTTTCCCCAGCCCTGCGCTAAGTCAGGCAGCCTCTAGCTTCCCTGGCAGCCAGGTGCCTCCTGCTCCCCACTGAAGCAAGAGTCCATCTGTCTCCGCCCCTTCGGGAGCCTTTCTTTACACTGCCCTCGGCTGGGCCCTAATTGGCTAATTCCTGCCACAGCTGCTGGCGCCACAGCCCCCCCTCCCCGCCCCCCGGGCTGGGTTTTAACGCTTTAAGGGCCTGCGAGGGGCAGAGGCCCCGTCCCAGACTCCTTCATAGCTCCTCAAGGGAGGGTCCATCTTTTTGTTGTGTGTTTGTGCACAACTGGGCCTTGGTTCCCCGACTGGGCTCGCTAGGCACGACAGCAAGGAAGACAAATAACTCATGGCAGCCTTTTCCCTTCCGGGAGCCGACTGGCACGCCACAGGTGAGGTCATGCAACAATTTCCAATCAACCCACTCCCGAGTCTGGCCAAGTGGTGCTTTGCGTGGGAAACCTCATTTCAAAGCAGCACAACATGGAAAGAGCAGTGGGCTAATCCTCCTTCACCTCCTGCTTACAGATCCTTGCATCTCCTCTTTGGCACAGGGAGAGCAGGAGGAGGGGAAGACGGAGCAAGACCCATAATGCCTGTTTCTTGTCAGCTTTCAAGGCATTCTCAAGCCAGCAGCTCCCTTCTCTGAACGGTGCTGAGATGCGGTAGTGCTCGACAGAGGCAGATGCCCCCACGGTATAGTCTCAAGGTATAGGACACAAGAACAGTCAGATTGGGTCAGACCAAGGTACGGGACACAAGAACAGCCAGACTGGCTCAGGCCAAGGTATGGGACACAAGAACAGCCAGACTGGGTCAGGCCAAAGTACAGGACACAAGAACAGTCATACTGGCTCAGACCAAGGTATGGGACACAAGAACAGTCAGACTGGGTCAGGCCAAAGTACAGGACACAAGAACAGCCAGACTGGGTCATGAGATATTCTACTCAACATGAAAGTCTTTCCTACTTTCTCTTGGAAGGCCTCTCAGCCAAGTACAAGACAGGGATCACATACCTCAAGGGACAGTAGCCTCATTAGAGAAAATAAGGTGGGTTTCTTTGTTCTTCGTTAGGGGTCAATCAGCGATGACTATGCGATGCTGGCTTTGCATCATCGTATAGATAAGGCCTGGAATGCCCACAAGCTCTTTCCTGCTGCATGCCTCTGATCCAAAGCCCACCTACACCAGCCAAAAGTCTTCCATAGGCTGCAGTTTGTTGTAGATCAGCTACTAACTTCCTCCGACTCCCACCACACAACTCACCAGTGAGACTTGGGAATGAACAGGGCAGAACTGAACATGGGGGCAGGTGCACCCAAGGGAACTTCTTACTCTTGCCTCTGAGCGTGAGCAGAGGGGCCACAAAAGCAGGCGGACACTGCAGAGCCCAGGAGGATACTGTTTAGCCCCACGGATTCCCATGAAATGGCTTTGCCCGGGAGTGGCTCAGGGCAGAATCGGGGCCGTCAATCGCATTTTCAGCCCATTGCCCCGACTCTCTCATCCTGCCATGAAGCCCTTCAGCTGCTGACTTGCCAAATGGAACTGAATTCCACCGATGGGTGGCTGACTGACCTAGCGCACCACCAGCGGAGAAAGCACGGCCACTCGGTCACCACTGCCATCCCAGAACACCCGCGAGGTGTGCTTTCCAGGCACTCTGTGAACGCGGGCACCACAGAACACGAGCCACAGCATTAGCTGCAAATGCACCCCGCAGCTGCCCCACCTCTCCAGTACGGAATGCCGCGGCAGCGAG